GAGCAGTGACAGCCACAACCCCTGTCCTCTAGGTGGATGGCAGTGAACAAGGCAGCAAGCCAGTATATGGGTGCAGGAGCCCAGGGGCTCAAGGAGGTAAGGAAAATGCTGCCAGCAAGGGGTAGGAGACAGCGTCCAGGCAGGGCAGAGCTCTGGGAAAGGCAAAGACTGAAGTGGAGACCAAGTTGCAGGAAGCAATCCACACTTGGCTCCAGGTAGGGCTGGCAGGGTAAAGGGCTGTGGCCAGGGGAAGAGTCAGGGGCAATGAGGTGGGAGATGGACACAGCAAGAGAGGTGGTCGAGAGGCAGAGCCCTCTGGAGTAGAGGACAGAGGCACCGCCCAGGATTCCAAGGGCCTCTCTGGCTTCAGAGTTGAGAACAGCTGGAAGAAGGAGCAAGGGCAGTGGTTCCAGTCCTGTCTGAGTGGTGGGTGGGCAGTGCTGGGTCCTGTGCAAATACAGAGGCTCATGCACAGTTTGTTGAGGGGCTGGCAGAGTGGCTTAAGCAGTAAGAGTGCCTGCCTAGCAAGAGTGAGGTCCTGAGTTTAAACCCCAGGGCTGCCAAAAAAGAATTCCCAGGGGGGATGCTGGGGGTCAAGAACATCTGGGTTTTGGCCTGAGCAGGTGGAGGAGGGGACCTCTTGCTAGCTGAAATGAGGTGATGTTTCCCAAGTGGAAGGTGCGGAGCTGTGTGGCCGAGTGCCAAATAGGGAACAGAAATCAGACGTGGCCAACATCCTGGATTATGGCGTGTGCCCAGCAAATGGTGTGACTTCAACCTGGACCAGGCTCTGGACTGCATTGCCCTCAGTCCAACACTGTCCTCCTCTCTAAATCTTGCCTCTCAGCAGGGTTCCCAGCTGCCCCTGTGTGGTCGACTCCCTGTGTCCCACCTCTCACCATGTCCTCTTAAGGACCCCTTGTCCCAGGTTTCCATGACATCCTCTCCTGGCCCCCAGACTTCTCCTTCACTTCTCCTCCTCCCAGAGTTCAGCTCACTCCTGCTTCCTCCTCTCCTCCACTTATACCCAGGACTGTCATCCCCAAGCCTCCTGCCCACCTGCCCACATTTAAGAGCAGGCTTGAGTGTTCAAGTGGCTGCTCCAGTTATTCTGGTCCCAGGAGATGCCCACCTCCCATTGTGACCTCTGCGACCTTCTCGGTCACCACAATGGGCTCCAAACACAACCTCAGCCTTTCGCCCAGTCTCTCCTACCCTTCCACTGAAGGTGCCTGTAAGCCTGTCCCACAGCTGGCCACCTCCCACCACCTCCATACACACCACTATTTGAGTCCCCCCAGGCAATTGCTTCTCTGGGCCCCACACAACCTAACAAGGCTTTGGGAACTTACACTACTTCTCCCACTACTACCTATTTGCCACCCTCTCACCTGTGTGAGGGCCAATGGATGTCACAAACACAACACAGCATAATGGAATTCTCAGTGCCGACCCCCTGCAGGGGATTTATCATCTCAGGCCAAAATCCTCAGGTCACCTGTATACTCCCTTTTCCTTCACAGGAAAATCCTGCCCAGGATCGCCAGCTCTCCACCTCCCCACCCCACCTGGACTAGGTGCCAGTATCCCTCACCTGGCCCATTCCAGTGGCCGCCCCGGTTCCCAGCCTCCACCCTGCCCTCCTGTGGTCTGTTCCTAGCACTGCGCTGGATCTTTATGGAGCCTAGATCAGCTGGTTCCTCTGCTCCCTACCCAGCCCCTTGTACACAGTAGGCACCTAGTAACTACTTCCTGCTGTGCTGATTGGCTTTTTCCCACCTGGGACCCATCCTGGACGCTGTTTTCTCAGGAGCCCAGGGAGACTGCTCCTGGCACACAGCACATCCCAAGCACAAAGGCATCTGGTGCTCACACCGCACCGTTTACTGGCATGGGCTGTGCTGGAGGGATGGTGGAGCAGCTAGGCTGACCACTCGCCACAACAGCTCTGCAGCAGAGACACTCAGTACCACTCCACATAAGGCACAGAAGACCCAGGGGTGCCAAATGTCACCTTTGTCTGTCTCTTGGGACTCTGAAGCTCTGAACAACAGCAGCTCGGGGAGGGGTAAGACTAGCATGGGGGGAGGGTTGTTGTGCTAGGAACTGGAAATCAGGGAAGAAGCAGAAAGTCCCTTGAGTCAGGGGACAAGACCAGCTACTATGCTCAACTTGTTTCATATAAAAGGCCCCAGTAATGGCCCTTGGCTCCTTCCTGCACTGTGATCGGGGCTGTCACCCACACCACATAAGAAGAACAAGCCCCCTCCCAGTGGCACCCTTGACACAGGCACTAAACGAGCCAAGTCCAGCAGAAGGACTTGGGATGTAGCATACCTTGGCTAAAACCAGTCCTCTCAGTGAGGAGGGAGGGTGGGAAACAGCAAGAGAGCAGAGGAGACGGCAGGAGGAAGAGCAAACGTCCAGCTCTTGGGTTCCAGCTCCTTTTCACCTCCACTGACAGATGCCCAAGGCCGTCAGAGCTGGTGGCAAGTGGCCACCATTGAAACCACCAGCTCAGCACTGCTGGCTGAGTAGCATAAGTGTTAGTGTCATCTAGTTTACAGAGACGGAAACTGAGGCTCAGCAAGAGGCATTACTTCCCAAGACACAGCTAGCAGGTGCCAGAGACAGACAGAGCCCGCACTTGGAACCCTGAACCACACAGGAGTGCATTCAGCAGAAAATCCAGCCAGGGCTCAGACCTTTCTTCCCAAGGCTAGGTTTGCCCAGGGGCTCCCCTGTGGCAAGAGATGGAGACAACAAAGGTGGATGGGATAAAGTCATCCATGCCCACCAGTCCTATTTGTTCATTTGGGGTTAGCAACACACTTTGAGTTGCATTCTGCTTCCTCCTGTGCAATACTTTTATCCAGAGGGACAAGATCACAAATACTCTCTCTGACACAGAAATGGGGAAACTGAGATTAGGACAACCCAACTCAGCCCAGCTCCTCCCATGGGGAAGAGGCTGTGGAGCCCTGGCAGGGTATGGGCTCTGCTGCTACCTGCCCTTGGCAGTTAGCCCAATGCTTAAGATGTTCAGTGGATGCTTGCTGATGGGATGAATGAATGAATGAATGAGCAACCACAGCTGTCTGTGGTCGAAAGGGAAGCAGAGCAATGACCTGGGAGGCCCTGGCTGATCCAGTAGGTCCTGGGGGGCTCCAGAAGGGCAGGCCTCTACCTCCCTCCTGTCCCCAGTCCTGCTGCAGCAGGACTCAACCCTGTCTCAGTCCTCCCCACTGGATGATACACGCTCCATTAGAGGAAAATGGTAGCACCTGAGTCCCCACTGTCCTCAGGCTTCTCAGCTGGCCAGGCAAGGGGCTCCCAGCTCCACTTTGGCTTCCAAGCATGACAGCCAGATGCCCTGGAGGCCAGGAGGCCTTGCTGTCTGTGGATCAAGTACACAGGTTATGAGGCTGCCCCTCGGGTGAGCCCAGGCTTTTGGTAACATGTTGGTGGATAAAAGGACCAATGAGCAAGCAAGTGACAGCAAAGAAGGGAGGGATATCCTTTCCCACTGGGTTTCAGGTACAAAGGTGAGGCAGGACATGCAGAGGTCTGGCATTTCCAGAACCAAGTGCATGGAGCCAGTGCTTGGATCAGGCTGTGTAGACGGGTCACTCACCCTCAGCACCATGCTGGGTCACACACACTGCCACTCCTCTCTTAGTTCTGCTGGTGACACACACCACAGACACAAGCACACACATACCCACCTCAACGTACACATACACTTATTTCAGTTGCTAAACACATGTGCATACACACACCCATATTGCACAAGCACCTCTGCACAATACACCCACACCACCCTGTGCACACACGTGCACACAGCTACAACACACATGCACCCACACCTCCACGACAACAAACATGCTTACACACATCCTCACCTGCGTGTGCACACACATCCATGCTCAGATACGCACTCACACAAACACACTTGTGTGCACACTCTGGCATGTGCACACACAAAAACACACGTCTGTTACACACGTGTACATGCTCTGGCCACACTACCTGGAGCCACAGCTCTCCAAAGACCTCTAGTCCCTACACCTTTGGGATTCTGCACTCATGGCTCCTGTCCTGGGTCTGAAGAACTCATGGAAACCCAGACCCTGTCCAACTGCCCACTGTTCCTTACCCAGTGCTGGGTCCCTTGCATGATACAGGTACCAACGGCCCCCACTCTTCTGCTTCCCTCAAAGTGGCCCTTTGTGAAGCAGCTATGTCCAACTCTCCACCTGTTCAATTAGCAGCCTGGTGCCTGCCTGACCCAGGGGACATGACAAGTCTGGAAATGAGCCCAGGTCCCTGGGGTTCAAGACAAGCCCAGGATGCAGCCCCTCTGCCTGGCTAGCTGCCCCTATCTGAGAGAGGCCACAGGAGGCCCTGGGGCCAGCCTGCTGTACATCCTTGATCCGGCACTCACACCCAAACCTAGCGGAGCCCACCAGAAAAAACCTGCTGAAACTCCCCAGCTGCTGTCAAATGAACAAATTCCCAGGTGAGGATGCTCTTAGCAGGGAGGGGCAGCTTCACACCCAAGCCTGGGAGCAAAGATGACCTCCAGATACACTGAGCTCCTAGCAGTTGGGGTGGGCAGAGCAGAGCAGCCCAGGGACCCTGAGCCTGGGCAGAGCCACTGGCCTCAAAGCTGAGGAGCACCAGAAACTCCCATTTCACAGGGCAGGGGCAGTGGCTGACCCAACTGGGATCAGATTCAAGCCCAGCCTTCTGGTCTCTGCCCAACCAGTGGCTGCTGGTCCTCAGAGCTACTCCAGAATGGACAGGTGTCTCCAGAATCCCCTGAACGCCTCCCTTCCTGCCTCTGGTCACCCCAATTGGCAGCAGACACCCAAGCAAGACGAACGGGAAGAGAATGTCCCTCTGAATTGCCCGTCACCACGGCAAATCCCTTCCAAAGCCCCCGAGAAGGATGGAGCCAGGTCTCTGAGGAGACCCTGCACAGGGCGCATCACACCTACCGTGGCGAGGTGCCGCATGGGGTCACCGACGTACAACATGGTAGGAGCTCGAGGGTCTGCACACGCCGGGGAGCCGGTGTGCTGTGGGACGAGGCATGGGTCTGAGTGGCTGGGGAGGAAAGGAGCAGAGTAGTGGCTGCCTGGCGAGGTGGACGGAGAGGGTGAGGTTCCGTGGCTAGGAAGGCAGGAGCCAAGGATGCTCCAGTACATGTGGACTATTTGTTGGCATTTTCGCTTTTCCTATCTCCCTCAGTTCTGTCAACTGACTGCATCTAACAACAAAAACCGCGGCCCACCCCTTTATTCCTCATGACTATTCATCAACATTGGGGCAGGTCTCAGCTTGCCCAGTGATGTGTTGGACCGCACCAAGAAGGCTGCGCGGGGGGAGCGGGAGGGAGCTCAGGGTCATTGGCCGGCTCTGTGATTACCCTTCACCCTGCTCCTCTGAGCCACCACCCAGGGCCATAGCAAGCAGCCTCCCCCACTGAGAATCAGGGGTAGGCCCTGGCCCTTGAGACCTATGTGGCGAGGGCTGGGCCACCCCAAGGAGAGAGATGGTGCCGTCAGCCTCAGAGACCCAGGTGACCCAGGCACAGTGAATCTCCCTCCTGCCCAGGGAACTGGGGGCCCACAGGGAGCACCCCAAGGACTGAACGGAGAAGAGGCACATGGGGAGACTTGTATCTCTGGACCCTTTGGGAGCTGGGGGACAAGAACCAGCACCCTTGTGTGGAGTGGTGGGTACAGTCAGAGAACCCAGAGCCCTGCCTGACAAACGCTCGTGCCCTTTCCATTCTCCAGGAGCACCAAGGAGCAGCCAAGGGACCACTGGGGCCCTGCAATCACAGCCACAGTGACCTCACACAGCCTGGGGGCTCCACAGTCAGCAGCTCCCTTTCTTGAGGGAGGGGTGGATTTCTTCTCTATTTTAACCATCTTTGGCACAAAGTCACCCTTGGCAGAGGTACCTGACCCCCTCCCTGCAAATAGGCTGTGTGTTCATGGCACAAATAAGTCCTGTACAAATGGACACTGGGACTTTGCGTTTCTAAACCCCCAGAGCAAAGCAGCTTGAGTCCCATGCAAGAACTTGACAATCTGCAAGGAGCCAAGAGAAGAGTGGGGGAAACCATTTTCTTCTCAAATTCTAAACCACCTTCAGCATCCCCAGAGAGTTGGCAGCAGCCAGGCTCAGGCAGAGGGAAGTTGTGCCTGCAGTCACCCCAGGAGCCCAGAGGACTCACCCAGCCTCACTAGTGCACCAGGGTGAACAGTACCCAGGGTCTGAGGCTGGAGACCCCTGCACAGAGGGGGCAGAGAGAGGTTCAGCCTGCATGCTGGGCCCCAGGCCTGCTTGGACCCCATCACTTCATGTGGCCTGGGCCGTGAGCTCCTGGCTGGCAGGTCTGCATTGCTTATAAGGAGAGGACTGAGAAAAATAAAGGTTCATTTACTAGTCAAATTTTGGGGGAAGGAGGTCTCTGGGCAAACATCCTATATAGAGAGCCTGTGGTGAGGCCCAGTAGGAAGTTTTGGTAAAAGCTAGCAGCCTTCTTCTGAGGGGAATGGGAGACAGGCCACCCCAGGGAGGGACTGACCTTCCGTGAGGCTTCTGTGGCAGAGAACCCTGGCATGAGAGTGCTTTCAGCTTCCAGAATCCTAGACCTCAGACTGAGGAAGCAGGAGGGGTGCTGGTTCAAATCCCCTCCCCAAAGGGCGTTGTGTGACATTGGGCAAATTCCCCAACCTCTCCACCTCAAAGCTCAGTGTCCTCACCTGTCGAAGGGGACATGTCAGGCCCTGTGTAGGCAGAGGGACCATCTTCCTGCCATGTTGACACCCCAAAATGGAGAGCAAATGGAAGAATTTGGGATGGGAAGGATGCAAGAATGTCTTCAGCAAGAGTTTGCCTGAACACAGGGCAGAGAAGGGCAGCGAAGGGCAGCCTGGCCTGAGATCCTGCCCACCCCCACATGGTCTGGCCAGGCTGGAGGTTCCAGTGACACTGAGCTGCACATTGCCAACTCTACAGCACTGAATTCCGCAGGCCTCTGCCCCAGAGCAGAACCTGCTTCCTCCCAACATGGCCTGGCTGCCTCCTCCAGGTGCCTACTTCAGGTGGCTCCCAGAAGGTCCTGAGGAGCCCTCGGCACCTGCTCTTCTGTGTCTGACTCACGAGGGGTTTCACCCAATTGATCACTTCCACAGCTGGGAGGGAAGTGATTAAATCTTCCACCGCCCACCCATCGTCATGCCCCCCGCAACATACATGCACACAGGTACACACGCATGCACTCACACATGCAGGGCCATTTGCCCGAAGGGACAGGTACCTGTGTGTGACATGTCAGTTTTGGATCAAGCACACTGTACCTCCCTGCGAGGCAGGTGGCTTTGTGTCTCTCCACCCTGCACCAGGGAAGAGGCCATGGAGGCTTAATGAAACTGACAGCTGGGGTGGCTAGAGTTCAGTTCTGTGTTTTCAAGACCCTTTGCCACTGAAGTCACGGAGGGACGAGCTGGTCATGGTTCACTGGGGGGGTGGGTAGGCTGTGGTGCCTCATCCCTATCCCCGAGTTCAAGCCCGCACTTGCTTTGCTGCAGTCCCTCCCTGGAAGGAAGGGACATCTTTCCCTGCCCATCTGCCCCTTCCTGGGGTTGGCTCCAGGAGTGTGCACACAGGACCACGCTCATCCTTCTCCTGGGCCTGGGGAAATACACCCCCTCCCCAAAGCAGGAAGGTCTCTGGGGTGCCCCTAGGGATCTCAGGGTGTTTACCTCCTGTTAACCCCTGTAGCCCTGGGTCAGATCACTGCTGCACTTTGTGCCCTGGTCTGTTACAGCCCCAGCCCCACCCTATGGCCCACCTGCCCACAACAGCTGTCACCAGAGAAAGGTGCCAAAAGAGGCGGGAAGGGAAGGGGCACCAATAGGGGAGGGGACAGGCGGAGTCTCAAGGCCAGAAGGAGGTTCTGGGAAGGGGGAAGTGAGGGAGGGCAAAGACCCCTGTGGCCATGGCGCTGGGCACCTGCTCTTCTTGCCCTTTCTGTTGCACCTGGCATACTTTCCTGCATCTTATGAGCTGGAGGGAGCTCAGGCTCTCAGTTCTGGGGACTCAGAGACCCACAGGGAGGACGGGTTCCCCCAAAGCCCAGGCCGAGGGGTGAAAATTAAGATTCCTGCCTCTGAAGGTTGCACCCCCGTGGACCTCTTGGCACACAGCTGGTACTCACAAGGAGGGTTTTGTCCTTCTACACTCCTCCCAGAGAGTGTCCTGGGGGCTCCAGACCAGGGAGATCCCTGCCTCTGACAGCGTCCTTATGTCTTCTCCCTTGCAGGGCACCCATGGAGACCCAGGAGAGCAAGGACTGGGCCAGTCTTGGTCACCTCCCATCCCCAGCCGTTAGCCTGAGCTCCTCAGCCTACCCTCCTCAGCAGTAGGAGGCTTCCCTGAACCCTCCTCTTACAGGACAGTGTTCTATTTTATTTCATTTATTCATTTCTTTCAGACAGGGTCTCACTATGTAGCCCAGGCTGGACTGGAAGTCTCTATCCTCCCGCCTCACTCAGCCTCTGAAGTGCTGGGATCACAGGTGTGCACCACCACCATGTCTGCTACAGGAGCATATTTTAGCAAGGTCTGCAGGGACAACCAGAACTGATGGCCACCATATGCAGGAGCCAAGGGGCCTCTGAAGAAACAGCTCTGTAAACACAGGGCTTCCTCCCTTTCATCACCATCACATCTGATATATGTCACACACTCCCTGCGAGTCAGACATCACCTGTTGTCCTCACAACCCTGGAGGACTTAGAAACTTTTAGTTTCCCATTTTTATAGCTGGAGACACTGAGGCACAGAAGGGTTAAAGGATCCCAAGAGCTGCCCAGATTGGGAGGCTGGGGAGGGTTCTGAACCCAAGAAATATGTTCACAGAGTGCCCCATTCCTATTCACACCCACCCCAGCCTCCTGGACTCTGCCGACCTGCCTTGTGCTGAGGCCACATAGGGTTCACAGTCTCCCCTAAGAAGTCTGGGCTCCACCAAGGCCCACAGGGGAGAGAGGTGCAGCTGCTCCCATTTACCCCATTCTCTTTAACCGCCTAATTCAGCTTCCTCAGCTGGGCTACTGTGGCAGGAGATGGCCAGACGCTGACAAGCCAGCCCTCCCCAGTCCTCTCTGAAGTCCTCTCTGCTCTGGCCTCTACCTCCCCATCACCCCAACTTCACAAGGATGTGCAGGTTCAGAGATGTGTGGGACTTGAATCCACCCACTCTACAGACTCTGCCAGCCCTACAGCAATGGTGAAGGGTGTCATGAGGCCCCCAGGGTTGGCTTCTGCCTGCAGATGGCAGAGACCCTGCTTAGAACCTTTCATCCAGTGGGAAGCAATGTGTCCACTCCAGGTCCCACAGGTGTGGAACGTACCACCACGGAAGACAGATGTCCCAACTGCCTAAGAACCATGCCCCTAAGTCACTCCCCCTTCACTGGACGATTTCCCAGCACAAGGGACCACCAGACGCCCATCAGGGAAGGATGACCACAACGAGCCTCTGTGGGGCAGCTGGGGCACTCACAAGTGGAGCTCCCGAGCACTGAGGAAGTAGTGCTGCCAGGAACCCTGGGCACTTCAAATGCCAGAACTGTCCATTGGCCCGAGGCCAGGCCTGGGTGGTGCCTCTCATCCAGAGTGGTCAGCTAGGGATGGGATTAAAACCTTGAGCCTAAGGCAATGCTAAGATTCCAGGGTGGGGAAAGCACTCAGGAGCTCCTTTACCCCCACTCTGCACCAAACAGGCCCGGGTGTCCCAGGCCTCAGACCTTAGCAGTGCTGCTTCTCCTCCACTCCTTGCTGGACTTTAAAACCATGCCCTGTCATGTGGCTCTGAAATGTCCCAATACTTCTGAAGCTGGTTGCTCAATACTTCAGTTTGGCGCTTGGGCTTTGCTCTGTGCTGATGTTCTGCTCGAGAGTGACATCACATCATATCTGATCTGTATGCATTAGTGCCCTCCTCCCTGTGCAAGTGCGAGTGACCCCCCTCAGAGCCTTCTTAGATGAGTCACTGGCCTCAACCATCGGACACCAAAGCTACTAGACAAATAAGCTCACCAGTTCAGCTAAGGCTGAGAGCTCAGGCCTTAGCAGGCTACCCCCTGCTCAGCTTCTCCTCAGACGGGAGCACGTTCTGGACAGGCACTTCCACAGGGCAGGACTCAGAGCATGCCCTCAGCCTGGAGGGGACTCTCCTGTCCCTGAAGCACTCCTGC